TTATTCAAGTGCACTTCACTTACCTGCAAGTATCAACCTACCTTAAAAATTATGCTAAGCTCCCTGATGGACCTGTGAGTAAAGACACCGCCTAGGATAACAGTAAGCCATGCAGACCGGAAGGTTGCAGGTTTGAATCTGTGCTAGTTTGCCAATCTCAGCCAGGGCAGCATTTGGAATACTATAATTGGAATCAGTGCCCCTGGGTTAGGAACAAAACAATTTGGGATGCCTGCTGGAATGACTAGGTATGTGGATATTGGCTGTGATGCTCCATGTGAATTGACACTCGCACTGTTAAGGTTCACACCTGAATAACGTTCACTTGGTGAGGTACCCAGACCATGACTGGAGCCCATGGAACCATACTCTAACAGAAGATTCAAAGGGATAAAAATGGTTTGAACAGAGCATCCAGGAGTAGAAAAAATGGAAAAATTGATGGGAAATAAAAACAACATAATTAAATTATTCTGGATTATCTAAATTCTTAGAAATATCCGTAAAGATTGTGATGATTGTGTACTTTATATCACAGCAATCTATTCCTAACCTTCTAACTCAGTTTACAATTGCGTGTCAACAGTTTCATCTGAGAATTGTTCTTCTTCACAGAACTAATATTTTGTACTGTCACTATGGGGTTGTGGAAACCTTTCCTCTGATTATTTGTGACCAAGTGCCCTCTGTTATGTCAGCAATTATTGCACCAGCTGTAACTCATAATGGGGTGGATGCAAATCACTGCAAGAACACAAATGACCACTCTATTCAAATCTGTAAACTTTTATAGAAAGGTGCTATATGCAAGGTCTCCTGCTCACATTATGCAGGGAGATCCAGCACCTTGGGATGTCCTCCCAATGTGAAAAGCACTTTACAAATATAATTTTGCATTGTATAGTATTGATTCTATCTTCTTGAATGGTGCAAATGTTCTTTGTAATAGACTGGTTAGCTTGTACTTCTTACCAGGATCCTCTGAAATGGAAAGTAGCCTCACTGCATTCTACCCGAGCTTGTTTTCACGTCAGACGTGCAAACAAGTGGGCTCAGCTGAAATCTTCCTCAGCCTCATTTTGTGAGGTCTCAACAGCCCACATTGCAGGAATGATCTTTGATGCTTCAAAGCTTAGTCAGGTCAGGTCCCCCATCCAGCTGAGAAAAGGTCATGGTTACTGGAATCTGAATCAGTACCCAAGCTGCAATGTACATGTCTGCAGTAACATTCAACTGCAATCTACATGTCTGCATGATCATTTTACCATGTTAGATTGTATATTCCCTTGGAGCTAGGTGAATAGGTTAATTCCAGTCTCAAATCATTTTGCCTCTTTCCAGAGCTTGAGCGTGGCATTCATTCAGGCCACCAAAATTGATGAATAAATCATTAACCTCGAACCCATGGAAATTACTAAACACTGAGTCTGAGGGAACCAGTGTTTTTTTCCTTAATTGATGCTTCCCTTTCTTTGGCTGGTCCATTGAGGAATAATGTAGCGGCCTTATTATTGGAGACAGTGATGGAATTGACATTTGCCTGTCCCCATCGTGTCTATGCCTGACTGGAGCAGGAGATGTCTATGGTGCCTCTGCACTCAACAGACATCTGTATCTGTGTGGGAAAGATAACAGAGTTAAAACTATAGACCTTAAAATCAACAGATAAACAACACAACAAATAAAAGTTGAATGCAATGTTTTGAAAATACAATAGGCTTACTAATGTGTGAATTTATCAAGTTATCATTTTTTTGTTGAATTATTCACTTGGGCGATGAGCTTCTTATTACAAGTGTCTATTGAGTGAGTGGCATAGCACTTACCACGATAAGACTTGCTCTGTATCAGCACCTCGTTCATGCTGTCAATGGATCAGGTGAAAAACAGCTCAGCTGTCCTGACCTGAGCAGGTTAGAGGCTCTCTGCAGGATGATTCTTCTCCTGAGGTTTTTGTGGCCCATCTTGACTGCAGTTCGATGCTCTTTTGAAATCTTGACTCAATGCTTGATGCTTGACTTAAGAGAGTGTTATTTTTTCAGGAGGTGGTGGTGGTGGGAAGGAGTTAGGAGTCACTTGCTTGGTGACTTCTACCTTAGAAACTTTGAATCACTGCCTTTGTTGACTGGCACGTTTTGGGGGGTGTATTCTCCATAATTTGGAAGATCTTACAGGATGCAAACCCTAGTTTTTGCCATCAGAATTCTCTACCCACGTTTAGTTGGCTTTCTTTCACTTGGCTTAAATTGCTTTTTTTCCATGAAGCCAGCGATGAATAAGATGCATATTACGTTTATGCATATTCATTAATTCATTGAACACCAACATTTGTGCTAACACCAAGAAAATAGAAATCAGGAGCATTATTGAGCTTTGGTGTTGCAGTTCAGAAGCATCTGATACCAAATCGATCTCTTCATAAATTCTATGCTGCACTTGAGTTGATACAGTGAGATTTCTTCATATTATACACAGTGACGAGTCCTGAAATCAATTTTCTCTCAAATTCTTTACCAATACAAAGCATGTACTACAATTCCTTAAACAGATTGATAAAAAGAATGAATTCATCACAAAAAGGTAAATATTGGATGATTGTGAATGCTCACATTTTCAGTTGGTTTGTTAACAGGGGAATTAATAGCCTTAGTGTTTTGTATAATGAGTGTCCCTTCAATACTGCAGTAAGATATTGCTTGCTGTCAATTGCTCTCGCCAAGGATGGTGGAGAGATCAACCAATCCAGAATTCTTTGCACATGTAGAAATCATCCAACTCACACCCTAAAATCTTATTAAAGAGTCAGGAGTATGAAGGGCTTTCTAATAGCATGAAAATCTGTTCCAATTTTGATGCCAACATCTGGAGGTGGTTTATTAGATAATTTATGTCGCAGTTTCAATGTTATTTGAAAGTGAAAAAACTATACTGAATTGACACTAAGTGTTAGTACAATTGGGGCATATTCTAGATACGCTCTAGGTATACGTATGCTGCAAATTCCTTCTTTAATGCCTAAGTATACCTTTTTTCAACCTCAATCAAATAATCACTTAACAAACTGGTAATGTAATTGGTTAAAATCTCCCTTCAGCTGCTTTCTAATTTAGCTTGGAGGGCAGAGATGAAAGCCTCTATTCTGCAATGAATCTTAAAGAGTCCTAAGTGAAATTAATTTGACCTCTGTATCTACTTTCAGGTGGGATGATATTCATAGCACTAAATTCCCTCAGTTTGGCATTACTTGGACAATCTCATTTCAGATATTCATGAAAGCATCAGGTGTACAAAATGCAATTGCTTTAATAATACAGAAGAGACACTCTGAAGGTTAGGGCATGCTCTTGGGTGGCATAATTAGAGCTGTTCAGTGCATCTAACCCAGACTATATGTGACCTCAGATGCAACATACTTAGTGCCACTGAAGAATTCTATTCCATTTCCCAATATGATCATTTTTTAACTTGATTAAACAAAATCAAATTAATAAGAAACTCCTCTGGAAATTTGCATTCATGGAAATGATTTGCCACACACTGTTTTAAAATCACCAGATAATTAGCATAACTACAGAACAACAATGTGTTGTTATAGATCAACTCTCACTCAGTGAGAGCATCATTATAGAGGTTGTTCTTCAGACAGATCTTGAAAGCAGAGAGGGAGTGGGCGAGGGGGGGATTTTGGAAGAGAGTTCCAGAGATGAGGAGAAAAGTATCTGAAAGCTCATCCAGGATGAAGGAAGTGGACGGTGGGGGTTTTGATCATGAAGCAGGCCAGAGTTTGTTGACAGGAAGTATTGACTGGGAGAGTAGTATTGCATGAGATAGTGGTGGTAGAATGGGGCTAGGCCAAAAGGTATTTATTTGTAAGCAACATCGAGGATCTTAAACTTGATCCACTGTGGGATAGGGAGCCATCCAGTGGATGGGTCAGTAGAAAAGGGTGGCCTGGTCAACAGTGTCCAAAGCAGAAGAAATATCAAGGAAACATAGGAAACTCTGGTCACAGACAGTATCTAATTTGTTGTGTTACTTTGATCAGAGTGGAAATCCATAATGGAGGGAGTCGTAAAGCGATTGGTGAAAGAGCAAAGAGTAAGGGGGTGCGTGGGCTAGTTTTCTCCAAGCGTAGGAGGAGATAGTAGATCTGGCATTGGGAAGAGGTTATGGGAGATGAAGGAGATGAAGAAATGATCAGAGATAGTCAAGATGGTTGAACATTGCTGATGAAGGTTTGGATAAAAAATATTAAAAAAAACATGCTTATCATCCTACAAAAATCCTTGTTGCATGCTTTAATCAGGCTGAATAAAGGACATTGCAGTGAACTTAGGAGGAACAAAGCTGCTAATATATTGTTCAGTCAGGGAAAATAATTGCTTGCTAAAGTTAATTCCACTTAGAATCACTATGGCAAGAACACATTTACAATGTAAATCAATTTTGTCACAACGTACCCATTTTTTCCCCCCGATATTTGTCCGTTTTCCTTTTGAAAACTATGCTTATGGTTAAACCACAGTTTTTGGTAAGGTATTCAATGTTCCAACCCTCTGTGTAATCCTCTGTGCCCACTCACCAACCAATAGAAAAACCTTGTTCTTATTTACCTTATCAAACAAAAGTAATCCTTTTGAACAGGTCTCTTCTGTTTCTGGTGAAAACAGCTCCAGTTTCTCTCGTCTCTCCTCACAACTAAAGCCGAACATCCTAGTGAACTTTTTGGCGCTGTCACAAGTAATTTCTTCTAAGGAGAACCAAGGTGAAAAAGTCCAGCATTCATTTACCCACCCAACCACCAAAGAAAATGAATTCCTTGTTTAACAGCTAGTGTCACGCAATGATTTGGTATTTCAAGATTCAAGCCACGTAACCTAAAATATGGTGAACAGCAAAAGTTAGACAGACTGGTTTCACTTAATACAAATGAGACAGTACATTTTCATAGAATCTGTTCCATTGTGTTTTAAATTTCACATCTATGAGCAATAGGTTACCTTCAGCGAGTGGGTCCAGTGTGTTGATCATTAGCTGGAAGATACTGTTCCTCATCAGGCTGTTGTGCAGAGATGCCGAGCTGCCACCCCGCTGGAGGCGTGGCTTAGGCTGCAAAATGACAACAAAATTAATCAATACATGAATAAGCAGTACTTTTTTTTCCTCTGTGCAACAACTTGCACTCAAATTACACCTTTCACAGAGAACGAACGGACGACTTTACAAATAGAGGGAGCACTAAGCAGAGAGAATGAAGGGCATTGACCAAAACACAAAACAGCTAAAGGAACATAATACAGTATAATATTTATATAGCGTCTTTCCAATCGGGAGGACGTCGCAAGACATTTCACAGTCCTTGCTTGGTACCCAGCTGGGAATGGGAGCAGAGGGGCCAGGGGAGGAGAAAGATGACTGAAGTCGCGATCAAAGAGGAAGATCTTGAGGCAGACCTTGAAGGAGGTGAGGGAGGGAGTAAGTGTGAGGGTGTTCCAAAGAGGGCGAACCAAGTTAGGTAAAGAGATTTTGGAAACCAAGTGGTTTTAATGACTGAATCCTTGGTCACCAAAGGTGTGATGGAGGATTTGAGGAAAAAGCAATAGATCAGAATTAGAAGAACAGAAGGTGGGCACCCTTATAATTGTGTTCAAACCCATGAAAAGTGAAAATCAACCTAAGTAAATAATTGATGAATATCAGAATGGAAATGTATGCATATAAGAATAGCGATGCATGCATCTAGAAATGATTCACCGATGTTTCCATTTATGTTCTAGTTTAGTTAACTGTATGTAATCTTATTTTATTTGCAGTTCCCTTGTTCTGTTCTGTAATGATAAACTGGTTAGATAGAGTCAATGCTCAATTTTGTGCAAGTGTCCCAATTTTCAAAATTTTAATAATAATGAAAATAATCAACTGAAGACTCTTGTGGGATGAAACTGGATGGGATCTTGATGGAACATTGGATTACAACTCATTCTTTTAGCTCTGCTGATCTGGGCTTGAATCAAGGTCACTGCTGTAAACCTGGCATATGGTTCAGTGTTTGGGATAGGTTTCTGAGTGAAATTGGTTTGGACAGTTGTGTTTGCTTTGGCAGAGAGAGGTTCTTAGTGTAAAACTTTCAACAAATAGGATAGCCAGTTCAGTAATGGCTATGAACCTCACTGTCATTTGCCTCCTAGTGGCTTGAGTAAGCAGGTTGCCTGCTCGCCCTCAGGGCAATGGACAGTGCATGTCTGAGAGAGAGCAAGGATTGTAATTTAGATGCAAACAAAAACGTAGGTATTACAGATTACTTTAGGGAAAACACCTGCTCACCATGTATCAGGTGTATTTACCTAGTTCCTTAATGTGATACAAAATGTACAGACTATTAACAGAATACTGCCTACTGACTAAACACAGCAGCAAGCATCCTGCAAAACAACAGTGAAAGCAGTGATCCACAAGTCAGAAATTCAATGCCTTGGGCCTGGCTTCTTGGACATTGCAATCAAAACAGCGTGGAGGTGAAGGGTCCCATCTGATGCATATGATATATAACTTGAGAGGTAAAATATTGAAAGGAGTGGAAGAGCAAAGAAACTTGAGGGTTAATGTACATAAATCCTTAATGATGGGAAGGCAGCTAGACAAAGCTGTCAAAAATACTAATGGAATCCCAGGTTTTAGAAATAGGGTATAGAATATAAAAGCAAAGAGGTAATGCTAAACTTAGATAAATTGTTTGTTAGACTGCAGTTAGAATATTGTGTCCAGTCTTGATCACTTTAGGAAAGACATCAAGGTGATGGAGGGGTGCAGAGGAGATTTACTGGGATGATACTAAGAATGAGCAATTTGTCTTACAAGCGGAGACTGGAAGACGTAAGACATTTCTGCCAGAACAAAGAAGGTAAAGGGGTGACCTAATAGGAGTAGTTACAATTATGGGGTGTGTGTGAGGGCGGGTGGGGGGGGGGGTTGATAGAGTCAACAGGGAGAAATGATTTCCCACAGTCAGTAAATCCCCTGGTCAGGGAGAAATTACTGGTCAATGAGTCAGTGACAAGAGGGCATCACATTAAGATAGTTAGTAAATGAGCAAATTGGGAGGTTAGAATAATGGTTTTCACGCACAGAGTAGTCAGGATATGGATTGCCCTGCCGGGATCGGTGGTTAAAGCAAAATCCATATTGGCCTTCAAGAGGGAACTGGACAGATGCCTTAAAAAGTGTTAGCTACCAGGATATGAGGAAAGGGTAGGTAATTCGAACTGAAAGGATTGCTCGAGGGAGACACAATAGGCCGGATGGCCTTCTTCTGTGCCATAGATTTCTATGGTTCTATAGTTTTATATCATATGTTTTGCTGGTACTGATACCACATTGAGTCCCATCATAGGATCAATTCAATTTTAATGGGAAATCGCAATGCTATACTTTTGTTAATTTGGTTGGGAAACAGTTAACAACAGGGGAAAAAGGGTAGTAATTATGGAAAATCATGTCAAGGACAATGTGGTTTATTCTGTTGTAAATTTTAATATAATTTCTAACAAGGACCTGGAAAAAAAATTAATTTCATCTCATTCAATGTGGTGCATAGCTTGTGATGTCACTTCGGATGATCCCATTAACTTTTTTTGTTTAAGTCAGTACATTCGTCCAAATTAGTCTCTCAAATGGGATTATATTGAATCCCCTTATGGAAATTGATGTTCTTCTTACTTTCTCAGCATCAGAAGCACATGCTGTAAGGTGATTTGACAGCCCCGCTCGTGTGGGCGAATATCCCCAATCCAACACATTTTTATTCGAATTGATTTTACAATCCCGTCACGGCTGTGCACATGACACTGATTAACCTTGGAGCCCTCAGTGCCCATCCAAGTGCCACTCAAAGCAGTTTCCATGTCAAACTCATCTTCAATTGTCAATGTCATCTAACTGCTATGAATGCCAATAGCACCCACATAATGTCTCTAAGGAGGCCTAGGTTTAAAAAGCAACAGGATGACAGTGAAACTTGGTAGGTAAGAACAAAATGCTTGGTGAGATCATTGTCCAATTCCAAAACACTGACATTCAAAGAACTGAAACTTTCTTCCAAGAAAAGTTGATTTTTCAATCCTTTTTATTTTATTTCTGTAGAAATTACATGTGGTATTATTTGGTGTTTGACGAATGTTTGACCAGATGTACTTTGATTAATTCATTTTTTTTAAAAATGCATGTTGAATTTTTTGAATATATATTCCACTTTGAATCTCCCCCAGTATACTGGTTAACTATCCTCCAGACAAAATTAGTCTTTCACTTCATGGCTGTTTGCCAGACATTGCTGTGCATAAATTGGTTGCCACATTTGCCTACAAATACACAATCGCTACCCTTTACAGAAACTTTAAACACTTTGAGACATTTTCAACCTTAATGGTGATGCATCAAATTGTTGCATTTGATATGATATGGAAACATCTCAAAGTGCTTTTACATTAATTCCTGTTAATTGTGGTAGGTATGCAGGTATGAAGGTGAAAGCGTCAGCCAATTTGCACAGAGCAATGTCCTTCAAGCAGCAGGAGGTCGAAGGATCAAGAGGACTGTTGAACAGGACACTGGAGATTTCCTCCCTTTTATTTTTGATTAGTACCAAAGGCTCTTTAATATCCACCTGCAAACATGTTGGTGTTGGTGTAACATTTCATCTGAAGCATAGCATCATTGACAATGCAGTGCTTTCTGACTATCAGCTGCCAATTGAGCGATGCTGAGAGCATGGAAATTCAGTAAGTGGTTTGTGTGTGAAGGGAGGATGGTTTCTCAACATACAATAGAAACCCGTTGTAAACATCAACCATTTCGATAAGACGGGGAAAAATAAAAAATGTGTCCCTCAACCTTCAAAGTCATGAAAGTATTTTTCCTAATGTATTTTTGGACTGTCATCGACTTAACTCACTATAAAAACACCTTTGGAAACTCCCCTATTTACCATTAGAAATAACCATTACTAACAATGGAGGCATTATTCATTGCCGTATATTTTATGTTTTCATGTCAGGTGTTGGGAAGTTAGCTGATTGGAAGTGACAGACAAATGCTTTTATAACAGAACAGTTCCATTGGACACCATAACTTTTGGGAACTTCCTTCTTTCCGAGATACAATTGCAATCAATTCAAACTAGAATAGTGTAAAGCAAATAATTCCCATCGCAATTGATACCAGGGGGAGGGGGAGGAAGGTGACCAAAGACGGGGGTCACCTTAAGTGGGGGAAAGAAAAAATATGACCAGCATTAATTATCATCACATTAGTTTAAAATAGTGCAGCGAGTGTTGGGCATTTTGGAGGGAAAAAATACACATCAACCAACAGGCCTGTGCCAACCAATGGACTTTTATTCGAACAACTCATAAACCACACCCTAAGGGAAACTCTCACTTGGAACGTTTGCTCATGAGTTGCTCCACAGGCTCATGTTTGCGCCAAAATGTAGCACCTTCTAAATGAACCAGTGGCAGACCAGAGCTTCTGTGCCAGCCCACGCTAAGTTCCCAGAACACAGAAGATCTCAAGGGGTTTTGGGGTAGAGTTAGAAACAAATGTCACCACCAAGGATTTCCTATTTATTAACCAAAATAAAGTTTCAAAGTTTCGCCACAAATAATTTAATTTCCTTTGCTTCTCCCTCTCAAAGAGGCCAATTTTGACTAAACGGTATCTTCTGCTGGCATTGCCACTGATGTCTACAGGTGTGAGCAAGTGAATTAATAGGAGCACATTAACCAAGAGAGCTTCAGCCAAGTGACATTTTAACAGCATGCAGAAATCCATCTCTCCTCACAGGCAGGCTCAGTTTCTCTTCTTTGTCGATTCCCCCATTGTCACTATCTCGACCAAACTGTTAACCGAATATGGGGAAAATTGGTATTAAAGTTAATTCTTTGTCTGGGATATTTTTTCAGTTGAAAAAACGAGGCAAATACAAAAAGGTCCACTCCTTATAATGAAGATGTTTACCAGAATTTAGACTTGGTTGTATATAGCCAGTCAGACTGAATTTAAATAAGATACCTTCTAATCCCCAATAGGATTTTGTATCCTGAAAAATACGTTACCTGAATTGGAAAGTGAGAGTGATCCACAGTATTTCCCAGACAACAGTGCAGTCTCCATTGTTTTTTTATTGTGGAACTGGGACTTTCAGTGGATTAAAGCATTATATCACGTCAAGCTTTAATTTAGTTCTTTAACTGCTGACATCCCCTCCCCTCTCAGTCTTCCCGCTGCTTAATCTATCTGGAGACTGAACCATAGCCATGAGATTAATTTTCAAGAGCATTAACACAGGTAAGGACATAGGAACAGGAGTAAGCCAGTCAACCCATTGGTGTGTGCTATCAATACATTTCTCCACATTGTGCCTGCAGAATTCTTGCAAACAGCAAAAACTATACAGAACAGCCACACCAAACAACAACAGGGAAACAGGGACCACAGTGCTTAAGCATTCAGACGGACACAGACCAGCACAAAGTCATCACAGTAACAGTCAAGCTAGTTACAGCTGCTCCTACCGTGAGCATGTTAGGATCCTTCTGCTCAATACTGGTTTCCTCACGATTACTTGCCTTTCAAGAACATGGTGAGAAAGGAAGAAAAAAAATGAATAAAATAATAAATCAAAAATGAAAAGAAAGGTAAGTACAGTGTAGGCATAAGCAACAAAGCAATTGTAAAATAAATTATGAACAAAGTCAAAGAAAGTTTAGAAGTTTAGAAGTGACAGTTATATGGCAATCACACAAAACAAAATCCATGCATAAAGAATATATTTCAAGCAGTGTCTTATGAATGGATATTTTTGAATGAATTTAACTTCATTTCAGCAATGAAGCGACTGCAATCGTTCAGAAATAATGACGGAAATTACTTATATAACAGTCACAGCAGAGACCTTTTGTTCACAGACAACTTCATGCCTCGGAGGAGGATTTAACAAGAAGTCTGAAGACTTGTTAAGATGCCCAGTGATCAAAACATTCTTGCTTTCAGTCTGTACAACAATGGCCATTTCTAATGACCATTTCCACTTGTAAAATAAAACCAACATTCAATTTACTCAGAGAAATGCTTTTGATCCACATTCCATCGTGTGAAAATACCCAGTTTTGCTTTCAAATCAATAAATACAAAAGACTGCACCTTGAAACTACACTCCTGGCAATTTTACAATATGATAAGCGGTATAGAACTACATTATCTGATACACCATTTAAACCTTATGGTAAACTAAATGAAGGTTCATCCGATCTGTTCAAGACCTTTTATTGGTATGACATTGAAACTAAATATTTGTAATAGATTTTATAAAAATGAGTTTTTGTTTTGTACTAAAGCCTAAAGTAGTACCAAAGTAGTTGCAATTAAACATTACAATATCACCCACACTTAATAATGAGGATTTGGGCTAGTCGTACCTAATCCTACTCAAATGTCAGAGAAGTTTATAATGTTAAAAATAATAATCCTTCCATTTGATATAGGGCCTTATCATCAGATGTGAGCCTGGCTTAGTTGGTAGGACTCTCACCTTTGAGTCAGAAGATTGTGGGTTCAACCCGCACGTCAGAATTCAAATTCATACAGTTTGGATTTTCATTTCATCCCCCAATGAAACCTGCATGACTCTAAAACACAAACAGCAGCACTTCCTGCCTCCCACAGCAGAAGCCAAATGTCCCATCAGACAATCCTAGTTATCTGCCAAATTCCACTCTGTGCCGTTGTGCTGTTAGATCAACTCAGTAATGAACTCAGTACAATTTGCTATTTGAATGAGACCTTTGTTATTCATATGATACAATGTGGTTGTATAGCAATATTTAATCAAATTTACGATCTGACACAAAATCATTAGAAAAATCTTTGGATTACACAAAGAAATCATCTGAAAATTAGTGCTGAGGTGAAAAAGAGAATCACCCTCCAGAGAAATAGTAATCTATCCCAATTGTCTGATCTTTCAGAAACCAGCTTGGATTATCATTGGACAAGAACAATTTGCAACAACAATTTTACAGAGAGCACCTTTCAATTCGGGGATCATCTCAAAGCACTTCACACAGCCGACTAGAAGTCAGAGCTGGGGGTAGGGGAGCTAAGGAAGGCCGGGAGGGTAAAGGGGTGATGAAAAGCATGTCGAAAAGGAGAGTTTTCAGGCATGCTTTAAAGGAGGGAAGAAGAGAGTGAATGAGAGAGTGAGGTGGAGAGATGTGGACGTGGTAGGGCTTTCAGAGAACAAGGCAGAAGAGCTGAAAGCTCATCCACTGATGGTAGGGTAAGATGGGTCATATAAGTAGTTTACATAGTTAAATGTCTCCAAGTGTTTACACAGATGGAGTGGGAATCTGAGATAACAGAAGGCGCAATCAAAGAGGTAGGATTTGAGAAGGGCTTTTAAAGTGGAGAATGAGGAAACGATGGAAGGATTTAGGACATGGTGGTAAAGTGTCTAGAAGCCACAAATTCTGACCCAGTGGTAGGAGACATATTAGACAGTGATTCCTTCACACTCTAAACTTTCTGTGTGGACCACAGAGCTGACTGGTTGTCTGTATCTGACATGATACAAGGCACCCAGTGTTTGTTATTGTTATGTAATGAATGAATCACAAATCTGTAAATGGAGGGTGTTCTTCCTCAGTGAGGTATCACCTTGTAAGCCAACAGTTATCAACCCGGCCTAATGTCATTAATTGAAAAGAAATTTCAGTCACCTGAAATGAAGCAACACAGTGAAACTCAGTATTCAGTAAAACATGAGTGAATATAAACGGAGGTGAGAATATTTGGCCCAGCCAGACCATTCAATAGAACCCTAGAAATATGTGACACAGTAGAAGGCCAATCGGAACTTTGTTTTTCTATTGGTATTTGCTCCTCTAAGAATCCAACCTTATCCTAATCCCCTGCTTGATCACCAGACCCTCCAACACTCTTCCTCTGCTTGTGCTTGTGCAATTCTTTTTTGAATACGCTATTCCTTCCAGAGTCCACTTTGTTATCTCAAAGCCTCTCACGAGATTCACTGTGAGGTATAGTGACTGTGTATTTTGTAGGTGAATGCGATAGCCATTTTGCACACAGCGATGTCCCAGAAACCGTCCCACAGTAGGCATTGGGATACTGCTAGAGTTTAGCCAGCTAAAACTGTGCAGCTGAGCATCGCAAACCTGTTTGGCTGACTTCCCATGCTTGTACAGCTAAGGCCAACCCACCCAATAGGGCGCTGGCTTGCAGGGTTAACAGGAGTTGAGTGGGAAGTAATTAAAGTTTATAATTTATGATATATTTCATTTCAACTTTTGTTTTGTAAATGCACTGCACAGGAAAGAGAAAAACACATTGTTTCCAGAAGAATGCAAATTTTGTGTGGGTGTTATCTGGATACAAGTTATCAATCATACTGTGCAAAAAAATAGAGCTTGGAACTTGAAAATGAATTCCATCTGTTTTACTTAAATTATGAAGAGAATATATCACAAGATTAGTTCAGATGGACAAAACATTGCATTGCGGTATTTGGGATAAACAGTGCTTTCTCTTACATCTGCCCTTATGGATGTCAAATGACCAACTAGTGACTATCCTCTGAGTGGGGTAAAGAGAAGGTGAGTAGATGGTTTCTAAGATGTCATGCTTGGAAACCAAATTTCTGAATCGAGTCGACCCTCTGTGGCAGTCTCGGTGGTACAGATACTGAGCCAGACAAGTCCACAGTAATCGAGGGCACTGCCGATGACAGATCAACCAGTCTGGCTCACCCAAAGGACTTGGAGGAACAGACCAGTTACTGTGGGTGGGGAATCTTCCACTCAGCTCCTATTAATCCTGCAAGTGAAGTCCCTAATTGTTAGGGTGGTCCTAGCTTGACAAACAGCAAGAAGCTTGCCAGATGGTGCTTGCAATGGCAACCTATCCATTTTATGGGGCTCCTAATAATACCTCACCGAACCGCAATTCATTTCTCCTCACTTTCTTCATTCTCCTACTGATTTACCAACCTTGGATCTGACTCAGCACTAGTCAGTAAATTTGCCAACTTTGGTGGTAAGAGCAAACATTGTTTTTTTACATAACACAAGACTTATGAATATCCAGTTGCGTTAAACATTCCTGAGCCAAAATGACTCGTTTAGAGTTTGATCTGTCTTAATTTGCGAAGGCTATTGTGAAAGTCTATACTGCATATCTGCCATTTCCTGATCCTCTTTATCACTTCTCAACTTATCCCTTAAAAGACTTAGCTAATCTTTCAAACTCCATCCACTAGAAACATAGCTCAAGCTTTCTTTAGATCCCTCTTGCAATATGTCATTCTGCTGCCCTGTTGCCTCTTTTAATACTCCTTTTAGCCTTGTAGTTAACCTCAATTGACTTTTGTATGCCTCCAAATCCCTTGCACTTTGTTACCTTATTATAGCTTTCCCAGTTGGCTTTTGCTTTAATTTTGTGCTTACTTATTTAACTATTATGGCTTAGGTATTTTTATGTTTATCTTTTTCTCTTTGGGATACTTTCATTCCTACACATCACTTAAAATTATACTTTTAAAATTCCCCTTTTCAGGTTTCATATTCTGGTCTCGATTACAGCTCTCATTTTGTTACTGTATTCTTTCATTTCCATAAGATTCACACATTTCCTTGAACTGAGGACTAGCAAAAGGAACGTGATGCAATTGGAGTCGGGTATTTGGAGATATGTTCAATGAGGGTCTTACATATGCTGGATCATTTGGCAGGTACATTTCAGTCATTTTAGGAACACAATACAATTCCTACTCAATACTGGATTTGCATTGGATACTGAGATGTGCTGTAAAGAAAAAAAAGTAGTTTGCACCTTAGCAGAAATTCTTCTGACCTACAGTCCATGCACTGGTACAAGTAATACCATTGTTCAGCTGGAAAAAGTGGTGCATGTGACCGTTGAACTGGTGTAATAATATATTCAGTGCTTTTATAGTGGTATGGGAGCTCCTGACCCAGAGACACAGAAGGCGACCATTTGGTCTATTGAGCCTGCTACACCATTCATGGCATCTGTCTATTCAATGCCATCTTCTCAACATTTCTCCATGTTTTGCCTTCCCAAATTTCCATAAGATCTCCTTAAACACTCAAATCATTTTTCATGTATGACCTTCGGGGCAATGTGTTCCACATTCTCGCAGCCCTTTGTGTCTTAGAAATGCTTCTCAACCTCTTGTTCTGAATATTCTCTTGGCCCTTACTTTAAAGCTATATATGGATCTTCTCAAATCCACTTCTCCTCCACCTCTGTTTTTATAAGTTGAGCAAAATATTTATTTATCCTGTGTCAGCACCCAATGTGCATATCTAGCACATTGAGATACTGATTATATAATAATGTCTGGCAGGGCAGAGCCAAGGGCACTTCATGCTGCTGAATAAACATTCATGAGGGTGCCTGAAAACGCTGGGAAATGTACTGTGGGCAGGGCGGAAACCGGACGGGAGGGGTTCAATGAGGGAGTGAGTGGAGAGGTGTGCGGAAGTTGATTGGCAACAATGCGTTCTAGGACTTTTGCGAGGAAGGACAGGTT